TCTGTTGTCTGTCCCCCAGGGAGGAGGTTATATGTAGATCCTTGTAATCGGTTCCCCCTTTCCAACCCACCCTCCCTCCACACTCCCAGTATCGCCACTCACACCACTGGTCCTGAAGGGATCGTCCGCCCTGGGTTTCCATTTCCTATCTGTACCAGTGTTCATCCTCTGGTCTAGCCAGATTTGTAAGTACCGAACAATCTTAAATATACAAATGAACACACACAAATCTAACATGATTAATGAGGTAAAACAAATAACAGCCATAATAGTAAGGGGAGGAAATATTAAAACTAGCAAATAATTATGTGGTTCAGTACTCTATTTCAGTGTTAGCTAGAATGAAATTTTTCAATCTATTTTTAAAAATAATTCAGATTCACAGAAAGTTCCAAAAAAATATAAAACCAAGTTCTTGTCTACTCCCCTTACGCTGGCTCCTCAGTCTTTATCTTCAGTAGAACTGTAGTACAACAGCAAAACCAAGAAATTAACACTGGGAAACCCAGAACTTATTCAGATATCACTAGTTATACATGTACTTAGGTGTGTAGAAGTATCTAGCTCTAGGCAATTTTATCACAAGCCACCACAATCAAGATACTCAACTGTACCATTACCACAAGATTGTCATTACTTCTTTACAACCACACTCAATCCCATCCCCCATCCATAACCCTGGATACCACTAGTCAATTCTCCATATCTATAATTTTATTCATGAGTATTACAAAAATAGAATCATATAATATGTATCCTTTTGAGATTGGCTTTTTTCACTACTAAGATTTATTATTGTTGCACCTATCAGTGCTTCATTCCTTTTTGTTGTTGAATAGTATTACATGGGGTCAGCAGTAATAGTAGTCCATGAGATGGATGCACGACTGTTTAGCCATTCACCCAATGGGGCGAGTTTCCAGGTTTGGGCATTAACTAAAAATCTGCGATGAGCAAATGCAGAAGCTTTTCATGTGAACATGGTTTTGATTACTCTGGAATAAGTACTCCTGAATATACTTGCTGAACCATAAGAGAAGTCTGTTTGCCGTTTTGATTAACACCAACTCAAAACCATTGATCCCAACTCATAGTGACCCTCGGTGAGTCAGAATTGGCTAGATGGCAGTGAGGTTGTTGATATGAACTTGCCCCGCAGTGCTGTGGGTTGGTAGTTAAAACTCACCAGCTCAGCAGGTTGAAAGATTTGGCTGTAAAGAACACTCACAAGGTTAGTTCTACTGTGTCACATGGTGTCTTACTATGAGTCAGTGTCAACTTGATGCAAACTCAACATTTGATTTGCTTGCGTGCCTATAACTTCATGTGCTGCGTTGGATACTAGTGAGAGCAGATAACCGTGTTCCTAATTTGAGAAAGGATTCAGTCTTTCACTGTTAAGTGTAATGGTAGATGTACAGGGGGTTTTGAAGATGATTTTTAGGACGTTCCCCCACTTCTTCATATCTGAGAGTTTTTATCATAAATTGGTATTAAATTTTGTTAGATGGTTTTTCTGTAAAATGATTTCCTCTTTATTTACCTTGTTGATAGAGCTAGTTATCCTGATAGATTTTCTAATATTGAATCAGTCTTTCTTAATTGGAATATATCCCGCTTAAACATAGTCTAGTACTGTGTTCATGTGGTGTTGCTTTCTAATCACTTCTGACTCATAGTGACCCTGTGTGTACAGAATAAAACTGTACACCAGTTTTTGAAGACTGACCTTTTGGAAACAGCTCCCCTTGGCTTTTTTCCCAAGGAGTTTCAGGGTGGGTTTGAACTGTCAAGATTTTGGTTAGTAAATAGAGCAGTAAACCATTTTAGCCATCCATGGACTCCATTGTTGGATTAAATTGCTAATATTTACTAAGGATTTTTGGGTCTATGTTCATTCAGAACTATATTAGTCTGTAGTCTTATTTTTTTCACTGTTTAATTTTGGTGTCGGTAATACTGATCTCATTAAGTTAGAAATATTTCTTCTGTCTACTGGCAGAGATCAAATTGGTGTTCATTCTTCTTGAACATTGTTGGCATTGACTTTTAACAGAACTTCTATAAATGAGGGAAAAGATTCGTTATACTCTCACATATTATCTATCTTGTTATCCCAACATTCCACATTTATGACAAGTAAAAAAAAACCTGTCCTAATTATTTTGAACACGAATGATGTGCAGTGATGTGCAGTGAATATTGTGTTACACTGCGAGAAGAGTGCTGGCTCTGACGCTTAAGGTTATGTGTCAGTTTGGATGGGCCGTGCTTCTCAGTGGTTTGTCACTTAGACCCTAATGCAGTGATGTAATTTGTCTGACGTGGTCATCCTCCTTTTTCACATAATGCCGATTTTCACATAAAAGCTTGGTCTTTGGAACCTATCCATGTTGATAAATGAGACTGAATATATAATGTTAATGTTTTCAAAGATAAAATAAAATCTTGAGTGCTAGGTTGTTTAGTGAATTGCTTATGAAGGGTTCACTGTCTTGAATTCAAGAAGTTAAGAAAGTGTGCTCAAGAAAAAGAAGAGCATGACTCGGGGCCAGCTTGCGAGGGCTCCCTTAGGGCTAATTCTTGGACAATTAACAAAATGAGCACAATAATGAGTTACAACTTATTTAAAGATAGGAATCAGCGAGTACAGATTGGTAGGTAAATATAAGAGGAAATTTTGACGAGGAGCACCATATTTGCATGTTCTCAAGGTCTGTCCTTCCCACAGACTGAAGGAAGAAGCAGCAGGAGTTAGAGTAATCTGGCAGTGTCTTGACTGATGATAAAAGTGTTACCATCATTGATGAGGAATGGATGAACATCATATGCCTCCATATTTGAAACTGTTACAAATACTCAACTTTATACAGTATTCAACAATGTGTAGTCTAGTCATAAGGGAGGTGAGATTCAGATTATTACAAACTGAGGAATGTGCCACTATTAACAGTAATAAAAGAGACAGGAGAAGAAACCATATTCTTCAGATATTTTTAATGTCTTGAAGACAAAGAATGACTGAAAATGTTCCCAATTAAAGGAGGCTAGAGAGAATAAGTAGTTATACATTGGGCTCCGATCTTCATGACTGGCAGTTCGAGTCCACCATCAGCTCCATGGGAGAAAGACTGGACTTTCTACATCCGTCAACAGTTATAGTCTGGGAAACCTACAGGGAGGGTGGTCACTAGAGTAAGCATTGACTCAGTGGCGGCGAGTTTGGTTTTGGAGA